TAGTAACCTGTAATCTGCACATTAACCCAAACGCAACTACCCATGAAGCTTAACCAAAAAAATAAATATAAAATAGCAAAATTAATAATGCCTAAATATCAAAGCAATTTAAACTACAATGATCAATGGTTCTCTCTCTCAATACAAAAAGTATCTCTCCCCCTGAATAAAATGATAAGACTCTAAATTCTCTCCCCACTTTTGTCACAAATTAACAAGAGTCTCAAGAAAGAAATATCATAGAAATATGAATCAACCAACCATATAAATCTTGTAAATTGAATCTAATGAGAATGTAGACCCCACAAAATTATACGCATCAACACAAGACTATATCTCTCACATCAAGCTCATCACCAGACTCCGCCACTTTAACAAATTCCACGTATGCTTCATCAATCTGGTCATAATCATTTGTTTCTTCAAGGTTTTGTAACCTCTTTATATCAACCGTAGTGAAACAATGTAGATATGAATTTCCTTGATTTCCTGGTATAACTCTAGAACAGAGAAAACATGTAGGCCAGATCAACTTCAGTTCTTTGAATCCTTCACCATTGGCATTTTGTAATAAGCCTTGGTAATAGTCTCATAATCAATCTGTTTTGCCATATGTTGCACGACATTTTGTCTGAATCCAAATTGTCATAATAGGTTACCTTTCCTCCTAAGTATGCCACATGGGGTGTTTTCATAAGCACACCCCATGGTACAACCCAACAGTGTAGATGTATCCATCTACAGTAATACATGGTTCCATTAGTGTTAAGTCAAATATGGTGGTAATATCAAGCAATAGGAGCAATGAATAGACATAAATAAGAGGGACAATGCACCGTTTTCATGCTAAAATATAAAATAAGAGACATAAAATTATACAATGTTTAGTATTCATCTTTATTTTTTTTTTTATTATTTTTTTTCATAATTGCCTATCAAACACAAAAATAAAAACTTTTCTAGAATATAATAAATCAGAAAGGACCAGTCAACAAACAGTTTCAAAAGAATTAAAAGACTAAACAGTATAGTTGCAAACAAAATTACAAGCAAATAATATATGAAAAGATTGAAAAGACTAAACAGTACAGCTGTAAACAAACTACAAGCAAATAATATAGGAAGGGACCACAAACAAACAAAGTCAATGGAATCTAACAAAACTGACAACTATTACTTTATACAGAGTTTCAAACAAAACTACCAAAAAAATAACATAATTTACACCACTATGAACCACATGTTTTCATTTTTTACCAAAAAGAAACACGAATACCATAAATGCATTAGACACAGAGAGATATTTTACTGCAGACCAAAACCACGAACACAACTGAAATAAAAATAAAAATAAAAATCTAATCACATTTATTTTCACACATTAAATCATTTGATTTTAGCAAACTTCTCTGAACCACATATTCAAGTTTCTAAACCATCAATATGTTTGTTCTACCATAATAAAATATCAAGCCATTTTATAGAAACATAGTGCTTTAATTAAAACCAAAAAAAAAAAATCAAACCATTTATAGGGAAATAATGTTTTGATTACAGATCAAAATCAAAAAATAAAACTATTTATATAGAAACAATACTTTAATTACAAACCAAAATAACAACCAATATTATAATTATTTAATTGATTAGAGTTTACCCTCAAGTGACACAGCTCAAGGAGTGATTGTCAGATGTAGGAGCTATGATAATTACACGTTGTGTTTCTTATTAAGAGAGTAGGTCTAGTTGGTTTTGGCACTAAGATGTGTACCGAAGAATTTATTTGGTTCTAAAAAGATAAGAGGTAAGTAAATTTTGTTGAAGGTGATGAGTTGTCGTGTGTTATCATTGACTTTTAAGATTTTATTTGACAAGTCAGAATTGGATAGGCATTCAAATGATGTCTTTTTAACTAAGGCAAATATAATAATTTAACATTTTTTATATTTTTGTGCAGGTGACTTCTGATTTTGTCCTTAAATTAAATAACTTGAATAGTTCAGATCAGCTACTTAGTTCAGGGTTTCTTTGGAGAGAGTAAATTTTTTTTAAAAAAGACAAAATTTACCCTAAAATATAAAGTTACGACAGCTGTGTTCAGTATTGCTGGTACCAGTACCACACACTTTTATTGTCCTTTTTCTGTGCATGCTACATTTTCCTAGGCTTGTCTTTTTTTTCTAAAAAAAAAAAAAAACCCTAAAATGTAAAGTTATGACAGCTGTGTTCAGTATTGCTGGTACCAGTACCACTCACTTTTATTGTCCTTTTTCTGTGCATGGAAAATCAAATCATATACAATAAATTTCCATTGGGGCTGCCCTTTTTTTATTTTTTATTTTTTTATTTTTAACTTAAGCCTGTCTTTTCACACTTGTAATATTTACCCGCCGCATGATAGAACTCCTTCACCACACATTGCTTAGGCTATCTGCGTCAATCTCTCTATGAATTTTTACTCTCAAAAAAACATCACATTAATTTTTTTTAAAGTTACGTTAGCAAATGTCACGTTGGTAACTCCATCAAGTTTTTTGAATTTTTATTCTTTAAAAAATAATAATAATAATAAATTAAAATTAACTTTTTAAAACTTTTTCTAAACGGTTACATTCGTAACGGCTATATTTTTAAAAATTATTTAATTTTTTTTTTTTACAAAAAGTTTTTTTTTTTTTTTAAAAAGCTTTTTATTTATTTATTTTTGGCCCAAATAAATAAGGATTACAAAATAACGAATTGAAATAAGAAAATACGGATTATAAAATTCTATGGGAATAAGTAAATAAATTTGTAATTTTAATTATTTTTTTTACAAAAGTTAAAAAAAAAATTATATATATATATTTTAAAAATTTATAGCCGTTAAGATACTATTGGTGTAGGCCAAACATTGCTTTAACGGCCGAATGCATTGTTTGTTGTACACATTTAAAATTTAAAGCAAAAAAAATAATAATAAAAAAAATAAAAAATAAACAAATTTTAAGGGAAAAAGCAAAAAAAAAAAAGATTTTTGAATTTATTTTTGGCCCAAATAAAATTTTTTTTGATAAACAATGCCTAAACAATATATTTTTTATTTAATGAATTTTATTTTAAATTTTATTATTATTATTATTTTCTAAAAGGAGCTCAAAATAACCTATTTTTAGTTTTTTTTTTTTTAAAAAAATAAGTCTGTCAAACAATGCCTTTTGTTCCAGCAGCCATGGGATAAGATAAAACAGGTAGTCCAAAATGGCGCCGTTTTGCAGCAAAAAAAAAAAAGAGAGCAGCGATCACAAATTGACCCGCGGGCAAAAATGGAGCCCCTGAAGTTTAGCTAGAGCGCTGTGCACCCAAACGGCCCTTGGCTCTCGGAAATTGGGCTACCTCGAGGCAGCTGCATATGGCCTTACCCATTAAATTAATTTATGTACAGCTCTTTATATATATATATATATATATATTTTCGCTCATATTTTATCTTTTATGCACTATATTCACACCTGTATATTACACGAGCAAGCATGACGTATGTACCTTGTATCCGGTTCTTTTTTCTTTTTATTATCATCTTTTATGGGTTAGAATGGCATTGTGGTACTTACAAAAAAAAAAAAATAAATAAAAAAGGATCTATTTTTTATATTGCTTAATTTCTCTTTTTTCTTTCTCCTTCTTCCTCGTTGAGTATCACAATCTGAACATGGTATCAAAGTTTCTATTCAATGGCATTGTTGATGTCATCTTGCTGGGGCTTCAATTTTGTGTGAGAAACTTAGTTTTAGAGTAAGCAGTGTGAGAAAATTAAGTTAGAATAACGAAGCAATAAGAGAGATTATATCTGATAATTCTCTCTTTTTCTTTCTTTTTCATCCCTCCAAATTGGTAGATCCGTGCATTCAAATTGTACATACGATCCAACAACCACACCCCACCAAATAAGTGCTGACACAGTGAAGAAAATAATATTGGCCCCAACCAAATGCCCATTTAATTCAATGCATTCAATAAATGGGTTTGTTTATTGTCGTTTCGTATGGATTTGTTTTCACCTTCTTAGGGATAAATCGTTAGTTTTTCTTAAAAAAGTTCATCTGCTTCAATTATTTAAATTAATTATGTCTTCAAATAAGAAAGGAAATTAAGATAATACAAAATGTTAATTTTCGGAATACAGTTTGTTAAATTTAGAGGACATTTGATTAAATGAAAACAGATAATAGTGTTAAGGACCGTTGCCTTATATTAATAGTAATAATAATAATAATAATAATAATAATAATAATGGTAAAATAATGAATATAAATTGCTTAGTTGTAAGATATACGAATCATTTTTAAACTTGCCAGTTAACAATAAGAATAACAATATTTTCATGTCTCAAAAAAGATGTCTTGTTTGGAGAACCGTGAGTCACGATTTTCCAAACTAGACATCTAATTTGAAATGGTAGTACTAGTAGCTATAGTAGTAGTAATAATAATAAAATTTTAAACTAATAACAAAAATAAATTACTTGATATTGCTTTTGATGAATCCATGTATATATAAACAATTTTTACAAGTTTATAGATTATAAAAAATTAATAATAGTAGTAGTAGTAGAATTAGTTAGCGTTAAAAGTGTTTAATGTAATTTTTTACACATGGATGAAAACAAAACTTGCTTATCTATCAATGAGTAGGTTATCTTTACGGACTGCTACTCTAATCCAATATAAATGGACAAATAATCAGTAATTATAAAATTTAAAAAATGATAAATAAGGAAAATAATTTTTTTACAAAAGAAAAAAAAATTTCAGTTAATCATTGTAATTTTATTTATTACTTTTCAGATTTTGTAAAAACCCGGAGGTAAAATACTTTTGAATTTCTCGAGATCATCCCTGGGGAGGTGGGGTCCAAGCGGGGTGGAGGTGCATCATCTCCAATCTCTATTGCAATCTGAACCATCCACAGCACAATAGATGATCTAGCTCATAGAGTCCATTCTTTTTGTGTGTGTATATATATATGGGCTGTTCCACCGTGAAACCGCCAAGCAAATACCTCTCCCTCCTCTACAAAAATGGTGAGCTTGAAGGATTCTTACATAGTGAAGCCAGCGGAGCAGACACCAAATGATCTCATGTGTTTATCAGATTGTGACCAGACTAAAGCCATAACTCATGCACCAACAGTCTATTTCTATCGACCTACCTCAAAGTTCGATGATACTCCCAGCCCAATAGACATCCTAAGAGACTCTCTCAGCAAAGCACTTGTTGTCTTCTACCCTCTTGCTGGCCGCTTGCACTTGATTGGCGGCCGAGGCCGCCTCGAGCTCCACTGCAACTCCATGGGAGCTCTGCTCCTCGAAGCCGAGTCCGAAACCAAAATTGAGGACTATGGTGACTTCGCTCCAACTCCACAGATCAGAGCCCTCATACCATCCGTAGACTACAACTTGCCTATTCATGAACTGCCTTTAGTTTTAGTGCAACTCACCAAGTTCAGCTGCGGTGGCATTAGTATCGGCTTGGGGATATCCCATGTCTTGGTTGATGGCTGGAGTGCGCTCCACTTCGTCGCCGAGTGGTCCAAAATAGCTCTTTGCGAGCCATCAGACAGCCCTCCATTTCATGATCGCTCCTTATTATTACTAGCCAATGGTTCACCACGTTTTGATCACATAGAATACAATCCTCCACCACTCTTGATTGGTCACTCGGATAACTTGGAGGAACGAAAGAAGGAAACGGTGGTGAACATGTTGAAACTAAGCAAAGACCAAATCGACAAGTTGAAGAAGAGAGCAAATGAGGGTAAGAGTAGCGACGAGAAGAATGGCCGCGGCTATAGTCGGTATGAGGCTGTTGCTGGACATATGTGGAAGTGCGCATGCAGGGCTCGAAAACTCAAAAGCGAACAGCAAACAAATTTATATGTTGCCATAGATCTCCGGAACCGTTTGAAACCAGCGTTGCCAAAGTGCTACTTCGGAAATGCAGCCACTCGGACAGCAGCAATAGGCGTCTCCGGCTTGATTGTGTCGGAGCCGTTGTGTTATGCTTCGAGTAAGATTAGAGAAGCAATAGACAGGATGACAGATGAGTACCTGAGATCATCTCTTGCTTTTTTGAGATGCCAAGAGGATGTGTCTCGGTACCGTAATTTTCACACAGTTGGGTGCACCCAGGGGGCATTTTATGGGAACCCAAATCTTGAGATCACGACTTGGGCAGGTCTTCCTGTTTATGGTGCTGATTTCGGGTGGGGAAAGGAGATTCATATGGGACCTGGATCAATAGGTTTTGATGGCAAGTCTTTTATTCTCCCCGATCACGATGAAGATGGATCCTTTATCATTGCATTGCGGTTGCAGGTGCCACATATGGATGCCTTTAGGAAATTCTTTTATGAAGATATCTAATTAATACTCATGTTTTGTAGGAGCACTCTCATATCCTACCATTTCCTTAACTAGAATTAGGTGGGTTATTCTACCATGTGTGAGATTAATAATTGGTTTTTGGGTCAGAAGCCAAATGAATGTAATAAGTCCAACTTCGCCTTGGATCTCTTGTATTAGTATGCTTCTTTTTCAACCTGATAACAACTTAACAAAAATGTTTGTCCAGCTGCTTTTTGTAATTCAGAAGCAACAAGGCAATTTAAAGGAACAGAGACAAAAAAAAGTGGGACAGTAGGCTCAATGGTGTCTGTACAACATTATATTAGGGATAATTATCTATATAGTGGCGGAGGGTGTGTGATCTATATGTCTAGATGGAATGTCACCGGACACGTAGGATATCAAAGTTTTTTTTTTTTTTTTTGGGTTAAAATAGGATATCAAAGTTGAGACTTATTGCTTGTATTAATTAATTTATTTTTTAACAAATTGCTTGTATTTAGCAAGTGCGCGCTGCATTTTCGCTGTTTTTCCAAATTTAATTCTTACCTTTCAGATTTCATAATTACTTTCTGATCTCTACTCGAGAAAGAATTTAGTGTATAGGATGATTATTTATTTAAAATTTTAATTTTCTTAAGATATTCGAAATTCAAAACTTGTGCAGAGCATAAACTAATTTGTATATGGTTATTGAATGGTCAAGCTAGTATTCATAAAATTTTAATAATTAAATATTTTATTTTATTTTATTATTTATGAGTTATGAAGCACCAATACAATTTTATGTGTCATGTATTTTTCTAATATATCATATGCCACTGCACGCTGATCGGATACAGACACGCACGGCAACTTTTCGTTTTAAATAAAAAGAAAGAAGTTGGAGAGATAGCCAACGTTGGTATCATATATATATATATATATACACACACACACACATCTACAATCTTTTTTTTTTTTTTTTTTTTTTTTTTTTTTTTTTTTTTTTCGGAATTTCTGATATAAATTAAAAATAATTACATAAGGTGGGCCATTTGGCCCAATACAACCAAAACAATGGGAAAACAAAGCTCAAGATGCGGCCCAACACAGGATAGGCCTAGTCCTCCAATTCAAAACTAATAACTGTAGTCAACGGCTAATTAGCCGTTAAATGAGGTTGTCAGTGCTCGATCCGGTAAGAAGCCCTAACAGAAGATGATGATTGATCATCATTGGTGTCTAAATCAGTCCGGCGATAGTGAGCCGTGGACAAGCTGGATCCACGAGAATTTGCCTTAAAGAGTGACCGCCTCTCAAGAAACCAATTTTAGTAAAGCAATGATGGTGGAGGTGATCCTTGCAAGCACCATTCTGTGTTGATTTGGCATTATATATTATTTGGTATATATATATATATATAAGAAACAGAGTAAAAGTTTATTTTTTATATCTAAAATTAAAATATATTATTATTTAGGGTGACTACATTAAACTCCTTTTTTCTATCTGTGTTTTTCACTAAACCCCCATTTTCTATTTTTTTGTCAAAAAATCCCCCTTAACTATTAGAGAGGGGTGATTTAACTAACTTCCGTTAACTAATTATTAGAGGGAGGTGATTTAATTCTCAAATATATATACACATATATATAGCAAATAAATTTCAAGAAAAAAAAACTTAGATTTATATTGGAAAAAAAAAAAATAGGCATTATTTCTAGTAGTGTCCCTTTAATAAATTTATATAAAATGAAAATTAATAAAAACCAAATAAATGAATGCACAATATAATTCTCAAATATATATATAGCAAATAAATTTCAGGGAAAAAAAAAAAAAAAAAAAAAAAAAAAAAAAAAAAAAAACCTAGATTTTTTTCCTCAAAAAAAAACTAAATTTATATTGGTCTAAAGGCTAGATGAAAATGAAAATATATTTAAATAATATTTAATGATACATATTATATATATCATTATATTATGATACAAATTATATATAATATTATAATGATGGGTAAATAAAAGAAGTTGAACAAGAAGAAGAGTACATGTTGCAATGGTTTTTTTTTCAATATAAATCTAGGTTTTTTTTATTGAAATTTATTTGCTATATATATATATAGTTGAAAATTATATTGTGCATTCATTTATTTGGTTTTTATTGATCTTCATTTTATATAGATTTATTAAAGGGACATTACCAGAAATAACGCCTAATTTTTTTTTTTTCCGATATAAATCTGGGGTTTTTTTTTTTTCTTGAAATTTATTTGCTATATATATATATATATATATATATATATATATATTTGAGAATTAAATCACCCTCCCTCAAATAGTTAGTTAAATCACTCCCCTCTAATAGTTGAAGGGGTTTTTTTGACAAAAAAATAGAAAAGGGGGGTTTAATGTAGTTCATCCTATCACCGTATTCGTGTCGTACTTCATAATTTTTGAGTTAGGGTCTTTATGTACTAGACATAGGAGAAATTTACTGCATCGATCTTAGACTAATTATTTATCATAAGAGTTTTTATTTTCACTTTTTCTTTATTTATTTTTATGATCCTTTAAATTCCTATGTATAGAAGTTAAAATAAATTAACACACTTAATTGCACCTAAATATTTTACTTGAGATCGACGGCTCCATACGCCTACAAACAATTTATTTAATGTATTGACCTTAAATTTTTGTTGTGAAATTTTGTTGGAGACTTGGTACTATTGGAGAGAAAGAGAGATCATGTTACACAATACAGGTGGAAGAAGAAATGGGTCTGCTAAAATGATCAAATGGGAAATACTTCTTATAGGCAAAAGACTATAATAGTCGTATTGAAGGGCAATTTTAGTATTATAAAAAAAGGACAAGTCATGTACGTGCTGCAATTGTTGGTCGGAAAGATGCCGAAAGTGACTTGCAAGGGGTAATATGCACGATTTTGATACTTGTGGTACTGAGTTACTCGATTTTGTAGTTTAGGAGAGTAAAATGCCAATTTTTGATAGTTGGAGGAGGAGGGATTTTATTAGGGGTGGTCACGAATTGAATCGGATAAGGTATCAATCTTAAACCAATCCGCTCGCAATGGATTAGACAAATCTTAATCTGCCACCGATCCGTTATCTCACGGATCAGACCGGACCAGATCAGTGTAATAATAGATCGGATTGGATCCGCAGATTGGATTTTAGCTAAATTATTCATTATTATTTTTATAATTAATATTATTTATTTATCTTTTAACCATAACCCAATAGATAAAATTTAAATTTATAAATATTAATTAATATATTTAAATAATTATTAACTAATACATCCTTAGAGTCCATTAAATTATCATTAACTAATTAAATTAATTAATATAGTCTTTGAAAATATATATATATATTTTACGGATCGGATCGAATTTTTAAAGCCTCAATTTGTAAACTGATCCGTGAGCTACGGATTCAATTTTTTTGAATCCGTCATCGAACCGTGGGTGTACCAATTCGATCCGATTCATAAGGAATCGGACCGAATCGAATCGGATTGGCGAATTCACGAATTATTTGTCCACCCTTAGATTTTATGTTTTTTTTGCCAAAAGAAAGTGAAGAAACTTAACCGGAAAACAATACATTATTGCTACAAGGAAATGGCAAAAAATCAACCAAAAAAAAAAAAAAACAAACGTGAGAAGTTTTTCTTAAAATTAATAACAAGTCAAGTGAAATCGTATTTATAAAAAATAAAAAATAAGAAAAATAATCACCTAAAATATGAAACTTCTAAAAATTAGAATTTTTAACTATTAAAAGCTCTACTAAGTTAGAATTAGTTAGTATTAAAAGTCTTTAATGTAATTTTTTAAAATAAAAGTAATTTTAAAGCCTATCTTAAAAAGGGTAACATTACTTGTATGTTATATAGACGGATCATAAGAAGAGAGGGTAGTTTTGTCTATAAATATTAAGTTTTTATTGTTGCATTAAAGTAAGAAATAATGTAATTAATGAGTTAAACTATAACCAATAGAACAACAGTCACTGAAGATCCACAGTTGCCTTAGTCACTATCCTTGGCATTCTTCAAATAGTAATTTTCATTTCCCTTATTTCCTACAAAATCCATTTTTAGCAAATAGAATGCAGGGAGAAGGAAGAGAAAAAAGAATGGAGGGAGAAAGACTTTTATTATCTTCGTCAAATCACCACTTAACGGATGCACACCAATACACATACACACAAGGTCACTACCTCAACTAGACACTTTAGTCGGCTCCCATCCGCTTTTAAATCCAGCGGTCAAGAAGGGAGAGAGAATGAGAAGTGGGTAAGAGCAAGTTCAATGGTCCAAAACCCAGTAATTTTGAGTCGATAAGAGCAAGTCCAATAGTCCAAAATTCAGTAATTTTGAGTCAAATTTCACAATTGGACTCTTCCAATGGACTCGCCAGAAATTAGACCCCACCCATTGGGTCGGGGAATAGATTGCTAAAACCAGCGACCCCTTCGGCGATGCGCGGTTCTGCCATACGGGCCCGCATCAATTTTCTTTTATTTTTTTTTTAATTCTAGTCCAAATAGTGTTTTAACTCAAAACACTGTTCCTAAGGGCATGTTTGCTTGAAAAAAAAAAAAAAAAAAAAAAAAATGGGGGGAAAAAAATAGATTTTTGGCTTCTTTTTGTCCCTTTTTTTTTTTCTTCAAAATAATTGAACCAAATAGTTGCTAAGCCAAACAGTGCCTTAAAGGTTTTTTTGGGCAAAAAAAGTTTTTAAAAAATAGAGAAAAGTGTTTTTTTTTTTTTTTTTTAAATATTCCTACTGACATATAGCCGTTTTGGGCACTGTTTGGTTGACCCAAACAGTGCCTTAACGGCTACATTGGCACAAAAGCCTATTTTTTGAATTTTTTTTATAGAAAATAATTATATATATATTTATTTATTTTTAAAAAAACCTCTCATTATTTATTTCAAATGATATTATAAACATTTAATTGTTTATTTCAAATATAATTTTTTTATTAAAAAAAACATGTCTTTGTTTTCACTATAAATTAATAAATCAAATGATATTAATCAAGATTTCATACATATTATCTAAATAATTTAATTATTTATTTCAAAATAAAATATTACACAATAAATATTCTATTACATAAACTTCATAATAATTTAAGAATAAAATAATACAACATAAATTAAACACGTATTTCCCCAAAATGATTT